ATTAGGTTAGATATAATGGGAAAAACGCCACGAACTTTTTCCCACACCTAATATAATTCGTGTTCTAATGTACACTAAGTACTGAAAATCTATAGTATACGTAACATGCACTATAGATTTGCAGGCGCGGCCCGTTTCACGCTCACAACGCTTAAAGAATCCTAAAGTCGTTTGTATTACCGAATAATTTTTGTATAACAATTATTTTTTTCTTCGTATATAAATTTGAAAATAATTTTCCAGAATTAAAGCATATTAATACGTGTCTGTAAGATAAAGTTTATGTCGAGAACGAAAAAAATTGCTTAAATGGAGATCTTCTTGATCATTTCTTAGTCCAATATGACATTAAAACTCAATATCGTATAACTACACAGCTTGATATAAAAACTTTGCAATCTATACTTACGAAATTGTAGCACACAGACATGTAGTTCATATGAACAAACAACGTCAAATTCTTGGAATTAGACTTAGACACTATCGAATTTATTATACAAAAATTGAAACGTGCTGCGTGTATCATAGTTTGCGTGAGATGTTGATGTGGTATATAAAGATATGTGCTGTAAAATAGCGATCTCTGATAACCTCGTCGAAGTTCGGATTTCACTTTAGAATCTATTTAAGAATTATTTTATCCCTTGTTTGTCAAATGTTAAACAAAGACAAATGATACTCATAAGCTTTGTGAGCATGAATCGAATCGCGGCGTCCACGGCCCAGTATTTTCAGATAGCAATATATCGGAATACTGTCATAAATCATAATCAATTTTATGAGAAACACACATTATATACAAATAGAAATAAGTATATAGATATTATTCGTCTAAAATCTATGTTAAATATTTCCTTTACAAAACATGATTTAAACATTTGTTTTAAATACGTTTAAAATTTTGTTTAAAACAGTATAGCATTTAAAAAATGTTTTAAACATAACAACTTTGACGAAAACTTGAAGACTGTAAAACAAGAATCAGATACATGTTTTGTACGTCATTTTCCCACCTCCTTAAATTTTAGATTTTAATTGTCAATTTAATATTATAATTGACTTTTGATGTCAATTCCACTCATACCGTTATCAACGTGATATGCACTGCGAGAAGGTTGCGCAATCGGATTTTGCATTTAATCCTAAAAAGAACTGATTCTAATTCATATTTCAAGATCTGTGATCATTTGTGTGTTCGTGATTAGAGGCAAAAATCGATGACTTTTTCCGAGCTCCTTTAATTTTTACATTATACAAGATGTCCTTAAATTCTCACAAAATTACTTTATCACAAACTTGTTACTTTATGCAAACAACTTTTTCCTTTAGTATAATTGCGTCCAATCTTTGCAGAAAAGCAGATTAAAGTTCCCAGATAGCAAAATATTAGCAGATCAGAAAATGTTAGCAGAGTATTAATCACAACTGTCGCATTCTGCTCCTGTTCTGCCAAAAGAACCTGTTAACATTCTATGCAAACAGACTGACAGAAATCAAACAGAACTTGCTAACAGAATCTGATAGCAGATTGCGAGCAGAAACCGAGCAGAGTCTACTGATATAATTTGACAGTAGATTGACAGTAGAAACCGAGTAAGTTCTATCATTTAAATCGATCTGATTTCTTATAAGAAATTTTGGATATTATATATTTATTTATAAATGGTGTCAAAATTGGAAACAATCAATACAAGTTTTATTGTTAAAATATTATTAATTAGCTTCACATTTCAAAATATACATGAGAAAGATATAAAATAATCAAAAAAACATTCGGAGAGTTAGAAAACACATTCCGAAAAAGCTTGGGAATCTCTAGGAGATTTGCCTATTCGATTTACATACGCCAATTCTTATAGGACTCCTGGATGTTTTCTTTTTACGAGAAGCAAGTCCATCTCATGATTGTAAATGAAAATAACAGATCTTACTCGGTTTCTGCTGCCAATCTGCCATCAGGTTATGTCAGCAGGCTCTGCTCGGTTTCTGCTCGCAATTTACTGTTAGATTATGCAGCAAATACTGTTCGGTTTCTGTCATCAATTTGTTGGCATAGCATGTCAGCAGGCTTTGTCATATTTTTGACAACAGTTTGCTGACATTGTCTGATAATACAAACTCTGTGTAAAATTTGTTGCCTTTCTGCAATCAAAAATTGGTAGCAGACGCTGCTCAAAATCTATTTTTTCAGATTTGACTATCTGAGTTAATGAGCGTTCTTGTCAATGTGATGCTCACGGCATGCGCTCCTAATTCGCATACATAGATCTTGGCTAATATTCATAAATAACATACTTAAGATGCTAATGCAGCCCTGTTATAATTAGTTCACAACATAGTACACTTAAGACAATCTTAAATTAAAAAGAGTTTGCAGATTATTATCAAAGAATTTGCAGGTTATTGCCACGTCATGATCTAAAGCCAGTCTTATATAATAAACTATAAAATAAACTATAAGTTATACTAGCCTGTGGTCTTCTTTCATATTGTATTGTTAATAAAAAATAAAAAATAAAAAATTAATATATTATAATAAATAATTCTTTTATTCTTTATCCTTTCATAAAAAAGAAATATTAAGTCGAATATACATTTCTTTTTTACTGATAGTGTAATCATCATGACATCACAATAGTATCAGCCATTACGAAATTACTTTAGTACTGCCAACAGCATCTTAT